GATATCCATTTTCTCCTTGCCTTTCTCCATTCTTTGTTTATCCTCTTTTGACCTGGACCCACCTGGTCGATAAACCTCCTCCTCCTTCGACTTGGCCCTCCTCTTCGCCAGTTGCTTGTTATTACTCACCGTCGTTTGATAACAGCTCCTTGAAGTGAGTTGATCCCCGGCGATCTCCCCTACGTTTTCACCCACAGGATACTTCATCGTCATGTGGTACGTGGATACGATCGCCTGGAATGCATTCAAGCTCGTCTGCCCCATAATGATGTTGTAGGATAATTCAGCCCCCACGACCACAAACCTCACCATGCGCACCTTCCTCAGCTCTCCTGCTCCCAATGCAACTGGCAAGCTTATATCGCCCATCGGCATCACCTCTCCTCCGTTAAAATCATAAAGTGTCGTGGTCACTGGCTTCAGCTCCATATTCAGCTCCTTGTTAATTTGCACAAAACAGTCGTAGAACATCACGTCTACCGAACTTCCTGTATCAATAAACACCCTCTTCACGTCAAAGCCTGCAACCTCCGCGGTTATCACCAAAGAATCATTGTGTGGTAAAACCACTCCTTCAGCATCCTCTGCCTTAAAACTTATCACCGACATGCAAGTCGTAATTCCCACCTCCTCTTTTTTCCTCTTCACAGCTCGAGCATGCTCTTTCTTGGCCCTATTCGAGTCACCATCTGTTGGCCCTCCGGAAATCATGTAAATCGTCCCTCTCTTCATCGGGGCTTGTAACACCTCGCCTTATCATGAAAATCAGAGTGCGCAATTTCGCAAAACTTTTCAAAATAGAACAATTAGTTTGCGAAAACTGATTCGGAGTGCTACTGTAAAAAAAATATGACTTATTCTGAAAAACCGTTATTTTAGTCTTTAATAAAATCTACGGTTTAACTTAATGTATTGACTAACTGATAGTCTGATTAAAAGGTAAGTTCGTCAAAACGTCATGAACAGCGGAAACGTATCATCGTCAAAATATTTACAAACACATGATCAAAAGTCTTGAACCATCCGTCTTCTCACACCTCCGGCCCGACGTCCCGACCTGAAAAACATGATAAAAGTGGGGCGTGAGAACTAAAATACACTGTGCTTCGTGGAAACTCATACTAAAGTAAACAGTGAAAATAATTACAATAACATGATCTTGGGATTAACATGAACATGAAACCGATACTGAATAATCATGATCTGATACTGATGGTGAGATAATATCATCACCTGCCTGATACCTGAAAATCTGCCAGCAAAATACTAATGTCGGACACCATGTGCACACTCTAGTGGGCAGATTAGGGCCACTAGAACCCAGAATGGACCGGACTATTCCGAGCAGATACTGACTGATAATACATACCTCAAACATGGTAGAATAATTATAATCAATGTAATACTCAGTCTGACTTCCCACCTGAACTGTCTTAATGAAAAGGTAGTGCTGATAATCGGATCCTGATCAAACTGAAAATAACATAAACAATTACTAAATATTATGCCCAGACTGATAAAATAACTTTTTAATATGTTAAGATGCTCTATTGGACTTAAACATAATATTGGGACTTAACCGGTATAACTGGAACCGGTTAAAGTCAGAACTGAACTGACATGAATTTACTGAACTGAATCGGACCCAGAATTTAACTGAAAATGAGACTGAAATCATGAACCGGGACTTAAATAGAAAATTATGGGTCGAACAAGTCCAAACCGGTTTGAACCGGTCTGGCCGAACTGCCGGTCTGCTGGGACCAGCGGTCGGCAGCTGACTGCGGCTATGGGCACGGCTGCTGACGGTTTGGGTGCGGGCATGGCCGCTACCGGGCCTGCCTAAGCCTCGGCCGAGGATGCTGCGTGCACCTGGCCATGGCTGACGGGAGTTAAGCCCATCGGGACGTGACCTGGGCATTGTAGAACGCTACATGTGTCGGCTGCCGTGCGACTAAGCACGGTCTGGTGTTACCGCACACCGCGACGTGCTGCTGAACTCATGAGTGCGCGCACAAGCGCTGGCTGGACATGACTGGCGCTCCGCGGGCACTATTGAGCGACACCCGCGACGCTGGCTACTCGGGCGACCCGTTGGGCAATGCTGGGGCCACAGACGCATCATATTGCGCGCTGGCATGCGTTACCGCACGCTGGCGTGCATGACTGGGTGTTGGTGTGCCTACGCGCATCGCCAACAGCTACCTGCTGCGGGTACCGACCTCACGCGGCACTATACCGCGCATCACCTGCGCACCCGCACACCCGCCAGTACGCTGCGGCCGCTTGATGCGGAAGTGGCTAGGCAGCTCAAGAACGCCGCAAGTCGGGCTTACCATGCGCACAAGAGACGGGCACGAGCGATGGCAGAAGTGCGCGTACTAGAGCGGAGCGCGCGAGAAACGGGCAAGGATAGGCTGCACGCGGATGTGCGGGCGGTGTGTGCGGTTGGCTTGCGTGGCACGGGGTCGATGCGCGCGCGCGCGGAAAGATCGGGCACACGGGAAGCACGCGCAGCGGACGAAGCCGCATGCCTTGAGGCATGCGGAAAGGCAGGGCAGCACGCGCGCGGGGAAGCCGCCGGGGCCAAAGGCGTGCGCAACACGGCCAATGGGGAAGGACGCGCGGGACGCAATGCCGCAGTGATGAGGATCGTGTGTTTCGACTGCCGATAAGCCACAAACCAGTGCCTTGAATCGCCGATAGTTGCCTAGAGGTTCACAAACCGCACCCCTCTAAACGATATAATTGCTATAGAATTTTGGTGAAAATACTAAAGCAAAGAAGATGAACAAAAGTTCT